ATAACACGAAGACGTTTGACTCGTCGTTCAAGGTCGACCCGACAGTCGACGGCAAGCGGGACGACCCGGTGTGGCATTTCGTGGCCAGAGGGCGTTATTTGGATGGGTCGACGGCGGCGGGCAGGAAGAGCGGTCGTCGATGCCTGTGCAGGTTGTGCGGGCGTTCGATTTGTGGGGGCGCTAAAGCCGCCAAGGAGCACTTCTCGAAGAGCGAGAAGTTCCGATGTGAGGCAGCCACTCCTGCTGTGTGGAATGCGATCTGGTGGAAGGACATGACAAAATGTCCAAAGGAGTTCGCGTAGGCCATAGAAACGTTGCAGAGCCACTTGCCAGGTCATCCGAGCTTGTAGTGGCCACCTCTTCGATTCCCTGAGGACGCAGTGCCGCCACAGGTTCCTCCCACCACCCCTTCTGGAGCGGTCGCATCGCCCAATTATGGGGCTCCGGCCATTCGAGTCACGGTACCGCGTCCTGCAACAACAGTTGCAACACGACCGGCAGCCCCGCCGTCTGCGCCGCTGGCTGGGACACGAGGAGCCGATACATGCAGTGACCTCCGCTGCATCCTTGCGGATCTTGTTGGTCGACCAAACAGTCTCACGCCAGCGATCGTCGGCCACAACATCTGTCAATGGGGCCCGCAGTGCCACTAGCCTCTCCATCATGATGACGTTCGTGCCGAAACGCGTCCCCGCCGGTAGGAGAAGAGTCTTCGTCGAGTGCGCCTCAATAACCTCTCTCGCATGTCCATGGCGCTTGAAGAACCTTGTAACCAGCCTTGCTTGAGAAATGCGGGAAGCCACCCAATCAATCCTGCCGATGTCCTCGAGAATGAGATCCATGATGTGGGCGACGCAAGGAATCCAGAAGATGTGTTTCACACTCTCATCTTTTTGGAATACCTCCATCGCCGCGATCTTCACCCCGGCGGAGTCCGTCACGAACGCCATGATGTCGCTCAATTGGACGTCCATGGACTTCACCCTTTTCAACCATGCGTTCGCGAGGGCACTGGCGTCCTTTTTGCCACGCATAACGTCGGTGGACACATACACCACCCCGATCTCTGTACCAACAAGGTAGTTGCACAACGTCTGACCACGGATGTTGGTCCAACCATCGGTCATGATTGTGCAACCGGTCTCTCTCGACGTGTCGAGCATCGGCCGAACACACTTCTGGATCTCACCATCCAGCTCGTCCAAAAGGGTCGTGCGTAGCATGTGGTACGAGGGAAGTCTAGGCGCGGGAGCCCCTGGAACCCCCGACGGGATTATCATCGTGAACATGCGTTTGAAGCTTTCAAGCTTTGTGCTGTTGAATGGCATCCCGCTCTCGACGATGAACCGTATGATTTGCAGATGCCATGCGCGCTCCAAAGGGTCCGAATAATATGACGTGACGGCTTGTTGCCTGTAAGTGCCCCGACATCGTCCCATCGTAGCTCTCACTCCGAGGACCCCAGCATCCAACAACCCGCCAGGGCTCACAGGTGCCGCGCTCTGGGCGACTGCAAGGTCACGAATGCGTTGCAAAGGGTCTAACGTTCCGGTCAACACGGGTGGAGGCTGTGGGGCAGACCGACCACCGCCCGTGGTTGTCGGAACAGGGGTCGGAGATGAATCGGACACCGGAGCGGGGACCTCCTCGGCAGGCACCCCATGATCCACCTGTTCCCCGAAACGAGGCACGGAAGCGGAATGTCGAGCATCTGCAGGTGCGTGTGACGGATCCGGGTGGGCGGTTCCGTGAGCGTGGTGGACCACTGGACGCTGCGCCACTCTCGACAGTGGCGGTGGCAGCCAGGGGTGCTCCGACGAACTGCGGGGTGATGCGCCAGGTGCCACCGCAGTACCACCCCCGTGCGGCATCTGACTGCCTAGCACTCCTGAAAACAGGGGCGAGCGCGGGCGCTGAACTGCCGGCATTCCCCCCCCACCTGTGACTCTCAGTAAATGCACGTGTGCTCTTCTCCTCCCTGGTGGGAGGATTTGAGAGCTCTGTGCAAGATGCTAGAGCCCATCATGGGCATGCTGAAGTTGGTGGACAGCGACACACGCCAGATCAGCAAGATTCTGCGACGTTACGAGGAAATGATTGCATCTTGTTTATCCGCATGTCGTGACATTGATCGGGAGCAGCAGGACGCTATTGTGGAGGTGTTCCACAGGCGGCGCACCATGTTCAAGACCCCCGCCCACACGGCAACCATGCTGCTAGATCCAGAGGTCCGGGACGCGACGCTTTGTGACGATGCGGAGGTGCAGCAGACCTTGGTCGAGGCCCTTGTCCAGTTCGGCTACCTCGAGGATTTGCCGCAGCACCGGGAGGTCCAACGAGCGGTCGCCAAGCTCCACACGAGGGAGCCCCCTTTCGATAAGCTCACCATGCGGCGAGCTGCGGATATCTTTGATCACCCTGCCAGTTTTTGGTCCTCAAAGAAGGCGAAGTTCCCTCACACGGCCGTGTTTGCAGGCAGGATCCTTCGTATATGGGCGACCACCTCACCGTGCGAGAGAGCGTGGTCTCGTTGGAGTTTCATTCATTCGAAGTCTCGCACCAGGTTGGAGGTTCCCCGGGCTGAGAAGCTTGTGCGGTGCCACTGGAACCTCAGGCTACTCGATCGACCTTCGTTGTGCGACGATGGTGTTGGAGAGAGGCCCAGCGTCTTTGGGAAATGGGTGCATTATTGGCAGGCCGTGGAGGACGAGGCAGCCGTGGACCAGCAGCTCGTCAGAGGCACCGGTGTTCTGGCAAAGGTGACCGAGGAGGAGCTGAGCCTCGCCACAGAGAGGATGCGCGCCATTTCCCGCATGGGAGCCGAGCGTCGGGTGGCGGAGTCGGACAGGAGGCGACGCAGGGCTGGTGGTCGGGGACGTGGCGGCCGTGGACGAGCAGGTGTCGCAGGACGTACACGTGGCGATGCGGGTTCCGCTCCTCGGACTCGGCGACAGCGGACGGATGGTGGCTTTTGCAGGGCCCGCATGCGTTGGGACGAGGGTGACTTCTTGTTCGACAGCACATCTAGCGACGACGATGATTTCTTTGCGTCGGGAACACATGCATCCACGGGTGATGATAGAGGTGACGCTCACAACAGAGGCGATGACAGAGGCGACGGTGATGATGGCGCAGGGCCCGGGGG